TAATATTATAAAGAGGTAAAATTTGTAAGTTTGTATGTAGGGGGAAATCTTTGGAACCGCTGGTCGGATTGCCAAAATTCATTCACTGATAGATAGCTACAATATTCCTGAGTGCTATAGGCTATAAAACATCACGCTTCGATCAAGCAGAGAGAGTAGCTAGTTTGCAATAAATTGAGCAAGTCTCACAATGCCTTTGTGCCTACTTCAAGTGTTTTTTTTATAGAAGTTATCAGTTTATCAGTCAAAAAATTTAAACACACTATGAATAATTAAAACATATGTAATGATTATTTTCTTGTTACTTTGCATGTACTTATTTTTATTCAACTATAAAAATATCAATTCGACATGTGTGTATAATATCTATGATAGGATTGAATTTATGTAGGTTATTGAAGTATTTAAGGGGCCCGGTGTGGCTCGAAAGTAATCGGGCGTCACCGAAATACTTGTGGAACAGTAAAAAAAATATGTAGTGTAACAAAATTACGAGAAAATCTTATAAAGGTGTGGTTTTTAAATTATTTAAGCAATTTAAACTACAAAATTAACAGATATTATACATATCGAATAAAATTATAACTGTTTTTACGATCAAAACACCGCCCGTTTAAACCTTTATTAAAAACGACAATAAAAAATATAAAAAAGAGCATAAAAATGGCAAAAAAATGTACGAGTCCTGGTAACTATATGTCAATTATTTAATTATAACCGATTAATTAAAAACTATTCGTTTAAAAATGATTTGTTTTTTTGTTTAAATTATACAAAAAAATAATAATATCAAAGTTTGTCTCATAGGTTTTGAAGTGACATTTAAGTTTTTTTTTTCAAACTAATATTTTTTTATAAAGACAATTTTATGTTTACTTCGATCAAAAGACCTTAAGCAAAAAAACTCAGTTACTATATTAGTTTTTCATTGATTTAGAAGTTCACAAAACTTACTCTGAATAAAGCAGTTTTACTAAGGGTTAATTTTTCAATAGTCAGATAAATGTTATCTGAGGAATAAAATTGTTGCTGTCACTATCTTATACAAACATTGTGACGCGACAGCATCATAATTATTCCCCAGGTAACTTTTATCTAACCATTGAAAAATTTGTCACAAGAAGACCAATTTTTTCGTTACACATTTAATTAACCTTTTTTTTGCTGTCAGTTCAACCGATTTCAACTAACTAACTTCCTAACTGATGTATATATTTAAAAAAAAACTATCAAAATGTCACATTCAAGCCCAGAGCGGCTTCCTAAATTACCATGTGCGAAATGTTTGAGTTTTTTTTTGTAATACATATATAAAAAGGTGTTAGGACCAGCCTATATCCTTTTAAAACGATTTAAATACGTATTATTTGATTCCGGTTTAATTTATAAAATTGTTTTTTAAGAAAACTGTACGTCAAAAATTATTCAGCTTTTAATATTTGTTGAAATATAATAAGATTTCGAGTAAATAATTTCAAATTACAAAAAAAACCTAAACATTTCACACACAGTTTAAAAAAAGTAATAAAATCACAATAAACGAAAAATACTACTAGAAATAAATATTCATCATATATTATAAACATAATTATACATAATCTATTTATATTAGATTCATAATAATTAACAAACAAAGAAATTAAAATTCTACAAAAAAAACAACTTGAAAAATTCAGATTTCAGAGATAATTGTTTTTAAAATTAAAATTATATACTTAGTATTAAAAAATCGCATAAATAAAAATAATATATAAAAAAATTATATATTTCGATTTTATATTATATAATATATATTTATACTTCTGACTTATAAGAGCTGATTTTTCAATAGTCAGATAAATGTTATCTGAGTAATAAAATTGTTGCTGTCACTGTCTTATACAAACATTCTGTAGCGACAGCATCGTAATTATTCCCCAGCTAACTTTTATATAACCATTGAAAAATCAGCCCTTAGTTATATAAAAATTAAACAAGTCTATTGTCACATAAGAAAATGACGAAATATTTGCTGTAATTATGTTAATCCTTAAGATAATTTATCATGAACTCAATAAAGACGTGATATATTGACTCTCTAACAAATATATTATTATATATAGAGTGACTGGTACTCAGTGACCGATATTTCTACACGTGATTGTAATAGGGATGTCTCCTGGGTTAAAACAACAAGATTCTAATTAGTCCGTCAGTTAGATTATAGAAAAATACTCGATACGTATTTTTTTATTTGTCCATACGAATAATATTGACAAAGATACAGCACGTTCAAATTCAGGAGTAGGGGCTAGTGACGTCACTCATTCGTAAAAAAATTAGGAAATAATGACGTAGCGCGAACTTTCGCCGCTCTGTAACTTTGTTATTTTAAGTTTTAGAAGCCAAAGAAAAAATACGTATCTACTATTTTCTGGCGTTCTAAAAGACGGACTAATTATTATTTTTTAGTCATCATCCCTATTATGATAGATAACACACAACTTTCCCAAAGAAACTATTTTTCTATACACATTACTTTAATTTTTTTGCTATAACAAAATTATGGGCACCCGTGCAACAACTGATCGGATGGCGATTTTTATAGTAAGGGCTTAATTTTCAATGGTTAGATAAAAGTTAGCTGGGGAATAATTATGATGCTGTCGCGTCACAATGTTTGTATAAGACAGTGACAGCAACAATTTTATTCCTCAGATAACATTTATTTGACTATTGAAAAATCAGTGGTAATGAAAATCAAACTAATGATTATAGAAGAAAAGTTTCTTTGGTAAAGTTGTTAGTTTTCAAGAGTGCAATCACTTGTTTAAATATAGGTCACTGATTACTAGACACCCTACATAAAAAAAAAGTGCAAGCTGAAAAAAATAATCAAACAAGACTAATTTTATTGGTAAAAAAAATGAAAAAATGAATTATATTTCAAACGTTAAAGATTTCCGTTTAAAAACTAATTTTTTGGTAAAAAAATTTAGTGAAAATAAAAATATTTAAAACTGATTTCCGTTTAAAAATCGGTAATGAGTACCATTTTATTTTTTTTTCAAGAAAAAAATTCCATTGAAGGTTATCCCATAAGAACATATGTAATTATTTTTTATATACATGCATTTGAGTCCGATTTATAAAAAAACTTATATTTTATTAATTTGTCCATACATGAACAAAGGCATTAAAAAAATCAGACGAAAGATTTATGTAGGTAAATAAAAGTTTTTTACAAAAAGCAATGTACCTATACGTCGGAGGCAAATAGTTGAATTAGCATTTAAACCAACGTCCTAAACGACTAGTCGTTTGATTGTATGGCTAACCCCGGTTTCCGAAAGGCCGATCAATGTTAAAATCAATTTAATCTCTTGTCAAGTCATCTGGGCTTCGAGTCTGCTTTTACAATAGTGTCAGAATAGTAGATCATTGGTTTCAAAATTGTTGATTTTGACAAGTTTGGTAATCTACTAACACGATAGCGTCATTATGACTTTCCAATGATCAACCAATGCCACTTCATTGAAATAATTCTTTAGAACGGTAATCTCGTAGGTACATAATGACAAATCAATATTTGAAATAATGCGGTAAATTAATAAAAAATGACAGTTCCTTTATTCAATGATTTACGTTTAGAATATTAATGTGCAGTTATTGTTTATAATTCGTTACAAGACATCTCGTACTATAATTCTTATGACGATGAATGACAACACTTTGAAAATAGTAGACTCGGGACCCTGATTGGTTGACTGAATTATCAACAGCCAATCAGATGACTTGACAAGAGATTTGACACCTAGTTAGTTGATTTTAACATTGATCGGGCTTTCAGAAACCGTATTTCAGGCTGTAAGTTGAAGGATGAAGGAATTATCATGAAAACCGAGTTACTATTTGAATGGTAGGTAAGGTAAGTTTACATACAGACATTAAATCACCATTACAAATATAATAACTACGAAAATTGTACTAGATTATTTTATACAGGTATAGATCGGCAAACGAGCAGAAGGATTACCTGATGGTAAGCAATCTAGTGCCTTGCCGGCGTTTTAGGGATGAGAGTTTCTTATACTTAAGGATTGCGAAGGGATGGGGAGGGTAAGGGATTGGGCCTCCGGTAACCTCACTCACACAGCGAAACACAACGCTGTATTGTATCACGCCGGTTTTCTGTGAGGCCGTGGTATTACTCCCATTCGAAAACCTACCATTCTGGTAGGAACTTTATTTTAATGACTTTTCACCCTTTAACTTACGATCTGAATGAAAAATAGTCATTTAATCAAATGGCTAGTACTTCAGGCTGTTAATTAATTGGCTAATTAAACTAATTTGCTGTGACATATATATTAATTTAATATATACGAATGTATATTAGTGACTTCTTTATATAATTTGTACAAATCCTTGTTTAATTTTATATTTAAATTTTATTATTATTATTAACATATATATTAATTACTATGTTAATTTATTTGATTTTAGTATTAAACGGGTTTGAAACAATTTTTAATTGATTACCGTGAAAGAATATTTAGTTATAAACTATCAAAGGAATATGATTTGGCAAGTTTTTTTTTATATAGATAGATATTTGACTAGAAATGGGAATTCGCGCGATTCCTAAAACTAGAAACTTGGGAATTATACATATCGGTCGTTTCCGAGATCACGTCATGCTTTATCAAGCAGTCAACGCCATCTGCCGGCTGATTTGTGAATCTAAGCCATCCAAGGCCACGGAGCAAAGAATTTTGATGCGGTCTTTTCCGTACACAGAGTGATTGAAGAGGAAGGTTTATATGTATAATAACATCCATTAAATAGTGGAGACATTTAGTATCAACATTGCAACCGTCGCTAGTAATACACATTTCTAACACGGGAAAAAATGATAATACCCAAGATTCTAATTCAGGAATCGCGGGAATCACGGGAATTCCCGTAAACCTAGTCCTGGGCAATCATCACTACTTATTACTTTCACGAAATCAAATATTACTAAACGAAAAAGAAAAAGTCAAAATCGTAAAATATAAAAAATCCCATTTTATACTAAAACCAAACATAAATTTATCACAAGTAGCATAGTAATTCAACGGTTGGTCCCTTACAAATATATTAGAAAAAAAAAAACAATAAAAATAATAAATAAAAAAATAAATAATATAAAATCTATATTCACTATAAAGGGACCTCGCGCCAAACATTATTATTATTTAAAAGACAATAAAAATAAAAACAATAAGAAAAATAATAAAATTAATAATAATTATAATTATTATTTACTATTATTTAAAAAATATAACGATAATAATATAGAGATTATCGTCGCGAAGAGAATTATTTGTTTTTTTTACAATATACCTTTTTACTTACTTCTTTTCTTTAAAATTAAATATTTTTTTTTTGTTTTTTGCGAAACTTTGGAATGTCACATCACTGAAGTATTCTTGAGATGTCCTGAAACAAAATAAGAATTTTTCAGTCAGTTCGTTTTTTTTAAAGTCAGTAAAGTTTAATAATATCCTAGAATAAATGCAATATGTACACACTAGATTTTGCCCGCGACACCGTTCGCTTGCAATAGTGACTCCCTGCACATTTTTGGTATAAAAACTATCCTGTCCTTTCACGAGTTTCAAACTATGTCTGTACCAAATTTCACTGAAATCGGTTCAGTAGTTTAGGCGTGAAGAAAAGACAGACACAATTACTTTCGCATTTATAATAATAGTTTGGATTTGGATAATTAAACATATCGAGGCGTTACGAGTCAGCCAATGGCTTAATAGCCAAGAGCCTCGACCAACACCTTAGGAGGCTCTCATTAGCAAGGGCTTGATTCATGAAGTGGTACACCTGGACCTGGTGGGAGAACCATTCTTCGGTACGAATGGGTCGGCTCGACCGGAGTTACGTTACGACAGCCTCACAGAAAACCGGCGTGAAACAACCACAACGTTGTGTTTCGCCGTGTGAGTGAGGATACCGGAGGCCCAGTCCTTCCCCTCCCCCGACCCTTCCCCAATCCCTAAAATGTCAGCAACGCACTCGTAACTCCTCCGTTGTGGGTGTCCATGGGCGGCGGGGATTGCTTACCATCAGGTAATCCGTCTGCTCGTTTGCCGACTTATTACATTAAAAAAAAAGGTTTCTTTCTCTGAGCCCTGACCGCCGGTAGCTAGGACCCTGTTCCCGATACCGGTGAGACACATTCTATATATATCTACCAATGCCACTTTTCGTTGTAATGTTATAACTCAACAATGCCTTTACCGATTTAGCTAATTTAGGTCCAGAGAAATTTTCTTGAAAATGTAAAATCGACATCCACGCTGGCAGAGCAGCGGGCGACCGCTAGTCTATACTAATATTATAAAGAGGTAAAATTTTTATGTTTGTATGTAGGGGGTAATCTTTGGAACCGCTGGTCGGATTGTCAAAATTCTTTCACTGATAGACAGCTACAATGTTCCTGAGTGCTATAGGCTATAAGACAGCACGCTACGATCAAATAGAGCCGAGCAGCCGCGTAAGAGTAGGTAATTTTCTTTTATATTTTTTAATGAGTTTTATTTTGAAGAATGTAAAGAAAATGATAATAATAAAATGTGTTGTCTTACCTCGTATCTGTGTAGGATCGGTGTACTGTTGTAGTGCGGACTTTCACTGTAGAAGAATGGCCGCTTCATTGTATTCTGCCCTGTAGACAAACAAACATACATTATTAATTCTAAGCCACTTTTCTCCACCCCCATTCCTCATTTCCTTCCCCAAATCCCCTATCCTTCAATCCCTTATAACCCACAAGAGGTCGGCAACGCACTTGTAGTAACTCCTTTGGAATTACGAATGTCCATGGGCGGCGCTGATTGCATACCATCATAAACTTATATTGCTAATTCCACGGGTCTTCTCCCCTGTTATCCCTACATAATTAATTCTGTAGCTCATTCCCCCATCACCTATCCTTAAATCTCTTATAACCCACAAGAGACCGGCAACGTACTTATAATTATTTTTTTATGGATTCAGACGGCAAACGAGCAGACGGATTACCTGATGGTAAGCAATCTGTGCCGCCCATGGACACCCGCAACACCAAAGGAGTTATGAGTACGTTATGGCCTTTTGGGGAGAGATTGGGCCATCGGTAACTTTAACTCCGAAACGCAACGCTGTGGTCGTTTCATGTCGGTTTTCTGTGAGGTCGTGATAACACTCCGGTCGAGCCGACCCATTCGTGTCGAAGCATGGCTCTCCCACACTTAATTCCTTTGGTATAGCTACTGTTGATAGGCGCCTATGCTTACCATCAGGTAATCCGTAATGTGGTGGTGGCCCGGAGGTTAAGGAGCCCGCTTCTCATGCATGAGCGTGGGGGTTCGAAATCTGGCAAATACCAATGTGTCTTTTTCCAAGTTATATGTACTTTCTATGATTATTTAGACACCACTGACATACGGTGAAGGTAAATATCGTGAGGAAACCTGGACTTATAATTTCTATTTTAAAAGTTTGAAATCGCCAACCCGCATTGAGCAAGCGTGGTGATTCATGCCCAAACCTTCTTTGTGTGAGAAGAGGCCTTTGTTCAGCAGTGGGCACTTATAGGCTGATGATGATGATGTTGAGCTAGTGTCGATCAGCGGAACTGATTGCTAACTGGTACCATCAGGTTGAAAGTCTGCAGCCATAAATAATCAAAGTATACTTACATAGCTGCGTGTGCGCGGCGAGTGCGTTTTGCTTGGCGATTAACATCTCGGGCCCCGGCCGCGGGACCTGCTCGTAGTAACCACCTGCAACACAAATTAATACATTCAATCCACGTGTGGGAGAACCATGCTTCGGCACGAATGGGTCGGCTCGACCGGAGTGATACCACGGGCTCACGGAAAACCGGCTTGAAACAACCACAGCGTTGTGTATCGCCGTGTGAGTGAGATTACCGGAGGCCCAATCCTTTCTTCAAATCCCTTATCCCCTAAAGGTCGGCAACGCACTCGTAACTGCTCTGTTCTTGTGGGTGTTAATTATCGGTGATGGCTTACCATCAGGTAATCCGTCTGCTCGTTTGCCGACTGAATCCATAAAAAAAGCATGGAGTATCTTGCTCGGTCTTCTAAATTGGAACGAGTAGACTAGACTTCACTAGAATTATCTTTTTGTTTTGACAGAAGAGTGTCAGACTCTTACTGACTAAAACCCCCCTGTTCCTTCTCCTGCTCTGTGCCGAGGTCGCGGTGCCTCATTGCGCTTACCCCTCCACCCCGGCTGAACATCAGCCCTATAGGGCCCCGTCTGTGGTGGTCTATTGGCTCTTTGAGGCGTGCGCGGAACGCTACGCGCCGTACGCTCGGGTCTAGTCAGATTCGAGCTTAAGGTGGTCGGAGATCGTCTCTCGATCCCCGACGCCCGGAATGCCGCCTACTCGGCTGAGGAGTGAAGAGGATAGCTCTCTCACGCGCTCGACCTCCTGCTTTACGAGCATAACTGCTTCACAGAAAGAGGCGTCTCCACTTTCAAGTTCCTCTTGCTCTGCGCCATGGCTTCGACTAAATACCAACTTTTCCCGAATCATATATATGTACTTTCTATGATTATTAAGACACCACTGACATACGGTGAAGGTAAACATCGTGACGAAACCTGGACTTATAATTTCTATTAAAGTCATGAGCAAGCGTGGTGGTTAATGCTCAAACCTCCTCCGTGTGAGAAGAGGCCTTTGCTCAGCAGTGGGCACTTATACGCTGATGATGTATTAGGTAGTATTATATATAAATAGTATAAAATGATTACCTGTGACGTTGTTATGATTGTTTGTCTGGTAGTAGGGACTGCCCTGTGGCTGCATCACGTTCTCACATCCTGAAATGCAAATATTTTTATTCATAAGTCATTTGAACAAATAATCTATACTAATATTATAAAAAGAGGTAAAATTTGTAAGTTTGTATGTAGGGGGTAATCTTTGGAACCGCTTTCATTCTTTCTGAGTGCTATAGGCTATAAAACAACACGCTACGATCAAATGGAGCCGAGCAGCGGGTGAAACCTCGCGAGAGTATCTAGTAATAAATAAAGTTAGAGAGACATGTGGAACGAGATCCCGTAAAATCTAAAAACAAGGAATGAGGGATAGTGCTTCGGGATTAGGGGATAACGAATTAGAAGTGAGGTATGAGGTTTCGGGATTAGGGGCAGATGATTGGGGATTTGGGATGAGGTATCGGAATTAATAAATACATAATTTGAGAATAAGGAGATTGGGAAATGGAGATATGGGAGATGTATTAAGTAAGATAGGTATGGTTGGAGGGTGAGAGATGGATGGAGCATAGAGGATAGGGAAATGAAGAATGGGAAATAAGGGATGGATTACGGATGAGGGACGAGAAGTGGGAAAATGGGGGCATTGGGCATGGGAAACTCACTTATACGGCTTTGCATAACGCTGTGGTTGTTTCACGCCGCTTTTCTGTGAGGCCGTGGTATCACTTCGGTCGAGCCGTGAACCTAAGACGTATGTTAGTGTCTACAACTTACCGTTAGGCGTGTCAGGTTCCTGCTTGACCTGATGCTGTATCTGTTCTAGAATGGCGCGCTGCTGTTCCAGTCTTCTAGAAGTATACATGTCCGCGTCTGTCAACAATGATAAAGTCAATAAACTCGATAAACTTTTTTTAAATAGACCACTATAGTAGTATTACAATGTTCTCACATAATCAAACCAACTAAATAATGTACCAAAGAATCTGTATGTAAAACTGATTGAAAAAGAGTAACCATGGAGTTTCTTGCTCGTTCTTCTCCATCGGAATCTACACTTTGGAACGAGCAAATTATTAATAATTACATTATTTATTAATAGGATTTAGAGTCTACCAAAACTTCCACGGTTTTTTTTTGTGAGGAGAAAATCATCAAATGCCTTCTCCCGCCTTTAGTGTCAGACTCTTACTGACTAAAAACCCCCCGTTCCTTCTCCTGCTCAGAACTTAGGGGTCGGATATCGCAGTTCAAAAGGATCAGATTTACCAGTGAGAACTATTACCGAGAAGAGAATCTGATAAAAGTGTAGTATTTTATCCGGGTATGCCACACCCACATCAAGACTAGCGTACGTCGAATAAACTGTAATATGTAATAATAATTTATTTTCCATATGAAAAGTACACATTACAAACAAAACACTATGCACTAAGTATTTATAGGTTAACAAAAAATGTTGAACTACTAGGTATAGTCTGCCTACGATTTTATTATGAAAACACTATCCCTAGTAGAGCAATAATTTAAAAGTAAACAATTATCTATTGTGATTCTTTTTTTCTACTATCGTAGTAAAAATATACTATACACTATAATAGAATACAATATTTTTTTTAAACATTCTATAAGTATAATATTATGAGAGTTCATCGGGCGTATGATGCAATTGTTTTCAAGAAAAATCATTCGTTAATTGTAAAAACATAATTTTTAATGTGGGAGAGCCATGCTTCGGCTCGACCGGAGTGATACCACGGCCTCACAGAAACAACGACGTGAAGCAACGCTTAGTTAATGTTTCACCGTGTGAGTGAGGTTACCGGAGGCCCAAGCTTTTCCCCTCCCTATCCTCAAACCTCAAATCCTCTATCCTGAAATCCCTAAATAACTTACAAGAGGTCGGCAACGCACTTGTAGTAACTCCTTTGGTATTACGAGTGTCGATGGGCGGCGCTGATTGCTTACCATCAGGTAATCCGTCTGCTCGTTTGCCGATCTGTACCATAAAAAAGACTCTTACTGACTAAAAACCAATCCGTTTCGTCTCCTGTTCCAGCATTAATTAATAGCGCTTGTTTTTGATGAGGGAAAATCATCAAATTACTTGTTTTGCCTAGGGTATGGCGAAAGAGAGTGCCTGTCTCTTACTGACTAAATCTTCTTCCGGACATACACCATAAAAAAATATAGAATCGTCATATCAATACGGTAGTTTCCAACTAGTCAAATTCAATACTTTTATCCAAATGTCAAAAACGATACTTTTCTATGAGATTTGTATGAAAAACTGAGTTATGACGTCATAGTTTTTTAGCGTCAAATAGCTTACTTATTTCTTAAAAATTAGTAACTTATTGTATCGATCGATCGATGAATAAAAGTATAGTTATTTTTCTATATTTTATTGTATTGAAACATCAAATTAATTTATTTTTGACCTAGGAAACTACCCAATTAATGAAAGTAATTTTAATAAGTCAAAATTATAGTTTTTGACCTAGGAAACTACCTAATTGGAATACCTAAGTCCAGGAATAGACAGAATCAGACTGATTTTGAATAGCAGTGAAAAGACTAAATAATTTATTTTTGACCTAGGAAACAACGTTAATGGAGATCCTACATCCAGGAATGGACGGAATCAGTCTGATGATGATGATGAGAGAAAAAAATGACTTACCAAGCTGTTCCTTGCTGCGTTCGTATGCAAACTTATCATCGTCAACGTTGATATCAATCTCCTGCTTTATATGACTTTCGTTAAAAAAATTCTGATTTTCATTAATCCTATGTTGTTCTTGTAACATTTGTAAATTGTGCTGTTGATTTCTTAGCATTTCGACGCTGTCCTGATAGTTTTGGAAGCCGTATTCGGGACGGAACGGTTTCTCGTAGCTCGGATACGCGTCGAGTTTCGGATAACCGTCGACCTGTTTCGGAAATTCCACGGGTTTATCGTAACCGTTTAGAGATTTTCTTTCTAGGGCGTATTTCTCGGCTTCTTTATTATATTCTTCGTTAGTTTGTGGTATGTAATCGTCCTGTTTGTTTGTGTAATCTTTAGCTTCATATTTCTTATCGTAAGTTTGTTGTTTTTGGTAATTAGGGTAGTCCATTTCGGGGTACTTTTCTGAGACTTCACTGTAGCTATTGTTAGGTTGTGAGTCGTCTTCTTCTGATTGCACAGGGTCAGTTTGCATGATGGCGTCTTGTTTTTTGGGCTTCATTGAGGTGTGTGTGTTTGTTATTTGCGGGGATAGGTTCATTGTGCCTAATGTTGGATAGCGGTACGCTAACTGCAATTGAGAAAGGAAGAAATATTTAATGTTTATTTCGACTACCGGTCCAAATGGGTGTCAGACTCTTACTGACTGCCTCAAAGAGCCAATAGACCACCACAGACGGGGCTCTATAGGGCTGATGTTCAGCCGGGGTTGCGGGGTAAGCGCAATAAGGCACCGCGACCTTGGCCCAGAGCAGGAGAAGGAACGGTGGGGTTTTTAGTCAGTAAGAGTCTCTGACACTCCCTCCCGCCCTACCCTGGGCGGGAGAAGTCATTTGATGATTTTCCCCTCACAAAACCCTCTTACTGACTAAAACCTACTCCGTACCTTCTCCTGCTCAGGACCGGAGCTTCACTTCATTAAAGCTTACACCACTCAACTGTGTCTTTTAAGATGGATTGCTTTTAAGTTTTTAAGCCTGACAAATTTATATTTTTGCAATTTACAGTTTGGTACAGACATTAAAAAGGAAGAATAACATTGTTGGTGATAACTGGGTGATACTTTCAATATTAATATAATGCAGACTGCCTGACTTACCCAGTCTATTTCAAAATAAAAGAACGGATTAGGATTTTCCATTGTCGTAGATGCGTTTACAAACATACAATTACACATACATATCACACCCAGACCCGGTACAACAAGAGTTGTTCGAGCGGGAATTAAAACCACGACACGTTACGCGGCAGCTAGTTGCTCAGCCACCGCGCCAAGCGTGCAGCCAAAAGACAGACAGTCTTGTATTTGAAGACTTATTACAGTGATGTTACATCAACTTGGGAGTTTGTGTTCCCGAAGGGTATAACCTGGGTGTCTTCAAGGCCCGAGTGAATAGGTTGCTTATGGGTAGACGTGGTCCATCGTAGGACGCTTACCACCAGGCAGAATAGAGTACAATAGGGATGATGACTAAAAAATATAATAAGTCCATCTTTGAGAACGCCAGAAAATAGTAGATACGTATTTTTCCTTTTGCTTCTAAAACTTAAAATAACAAAGTTACAGAGCGGCGAAAGTTCGCGCTACGTCATTATTTCGTGAAATTTTTACGAAAGTGACGTCACGAGCCCCTACTCCTGAATTTGAATATGCTGTATCTTTGTCAATATTATTCGTATGAACAAATAAAAAAATACGTATCGAGTATTTTTCTATAATCTAACTGACGGACTAATTAAAATCTTGTTGTTTTAACCCAGGAGACATCCCTATTGCCTGCCCATTCCAAATTATAGATAACCTCATTTTATTTTCAAACTCAAGTGTAATTTTTTTTATCATCATAGAAGTTTTGGTGGGAAAGGCTTAACCAGCTAAATAGAAAACGTACTTACATTATTGTCCTGTGGGTCACAGACCATGAGAGGGTCACTAGTAGGCTGGAGTACGCTGTGCGGTCCAAGGTTCATTGGCCATTTTTCTGTCTTGTCACTGTAATATTATGAACAATATACTTAAATCAAGGCTCATACAAAAACATCACTACTCGAAGTCCATTTCTATTTTTCTAAAATAAAAAACTATCGTTCCTCTATATAAGGATGCGTTCCTGTTTTGTGGGTGCGTGTACAAACATACAAATTCACATACACATCACACCCAGAACCGAAACCTCAATTTTTAGACCAGAGTTATTCCGAAGCGGGAATCGAACTCACGACACGTCACATGACAGCCGGTTGCCTAAAGTTTAAATAAATAAATAAATATGTATCCACTCACCCATGAATTTCATCTTTCTTTCCTTCCCTGTATTTGACAGTGCGACTTTTCCTGATCACCATGACTGTGCCATCGGGGTTCAACTTGGGCAGGTTCTGGGAGGGCACGGCATCTTTGCTTAACGTTTTCCATTGTCCTGGAAAGTGGAGATAACTTTAATACATCGTCAACCAGAGAAGTGAACCACTTGACCCCCTTCACACTACGACTGGGAAATTTTCCCGTCGGATGTCTCCCGTCGTCCGACGCAGAACGTTGCAGAAGCAGCCTTCAGGGACCTCACCTGCCTACCCACCTCTGCCAACGGCATAGTTTGATGATAGTACCACCTTACCATCCGGAAAACTGGAACTCTGCATATGACAATTGTGCCCATCCCTGGGATATATACATTCTTTTTGTATCATTCCATTTAAAAAAAAAAAAATGTTGCCCCACACTATGATCTTCTCCTGTGTCGTGGGTGCGTTTACAAACATACAAATTCACATACACAACACACACAGACCCGGAACAACTAATTGTGGATCACACAAAGTGTTGTTCCGTGCGGGAACCGAACCCGAGACACAGTCAAGCATAAGCGTAACATTATGTTAAGTATTAGGTTACTTTTTTAATTTCACACAAGACCATAACCGTAATGTGGCCCTCAAAAAGCCCACACCATATTGCATTTTTCGAATGACCGTAAAGAGCCCTTAGACCACGACGAATGAAGATCGAATAGAACCGATGTTCAGATGGGGTTGCGGGTGAAAGCGCAATAAAGCGGCCAATGCTTAGAGCAGGAGAAGTTAGTTTAAGTCCGGAAGAAGAATTAGTCAGTAAAAGACAGGCACTCCCTTCCGCCATACCCTAGGCAAAACAAGTAATTTGATGATTTTCCCTAATCAAAAACAAGCGCTATTAATTAATGTACAAGGCCCTGGTCTGGAACAGGAGACGAAACGGATTGGTTTTTAGTCAGTAAGAGTCTTTTTTATGGTACAGGTCGGCAAACGAGCAGACGGATCACCTGATGGTAAGCAATCAGCGCCGCCCATGGACACTCGCAACACCAAAGGAGTTATAAGTGCGTTGCCGTCCGGCCTTTAAGGAATAAGGGGTTGGGATAGTTAAGGATTGCCTCCGGCAACCTTATTCATAAGACGAAATACAGCGCTGTGGTTGTTTCACGCCGGGTTTCTGTGAGGCCGTGGTATCACTCCGGTCGAGCCGACCCATTCGTGCCGAAGCATGGCTCTCGCACACTTCTGACAATTCCTTTCTCTTGACTACTGACTATTGAAGTCTCTCCTCGCCTTCAGTAGACTTCAATAGTCAGTAGTAACATTAGGTCATTTTTTTTTATTAGTGGAATAGGAGGCAAACGAGCTGACGTATCACCTGATGGTAAGCAATCGGCTCCGCCCATGGACACCTACAACACCATAGGAGTCACAGGTGCATTGCCGACCTTTTAAGGAGTACGCACGTTTCTTAAAGGTTTGAAGGTCGTATCGGTTCGGGAATACCGTCGCCGGAAGACCATTCCAAAGTTTTGTTTTATGACGTCATTATTCAATATTAACAATAAAAATGACTCAAGAAACAAAGTCCAATTTTTACAATAATATGCTAATTGTATTTTGGACTCTATATCAACAGCAGAAGGATGTAATAATTACTTAGATATCAAGTGTTAACATTTTTTGACAAAATCAACTTCCGATTTATATGTTGTTATCTTTTATGAATCTCCACTCGAAGAAGGCATGATCAGTGACCAATAGAAACTCAAGGCGACATGTGACTTAAAATTTTTCTGGCAGGACCGTATCACTCACTACATGGTATAAACAAAGTCGCTTACTCTGTCCCCTATATGCTTAAACCTTTAAAACTATTGCCCCTCACTAGGTTTTTCTCCTGTGTCGTGGGTGCGGTTACAAACATACAATTTCACATACACATGACACCCACACCCGGAACAACAATTTGTGGATGTTGTTCCGTGCGGGAATCCAACCCGCGACACGTTGCACGGCAGCCAGTTGCCCAACCACCGCACCAACCGTGCAGTCAAAACAGATTTTGTTGCTTTAATAGATAGAGTAATTGAAGAAGAAGTTTTATAAACACAATCATCATCATCATAATCAGCCTATAAGTGCCCACTGCTGAGCAAAGGCCTCTTCTCATACGGAGAATGTTAGAACGTTAATCACATATTACACGTAAATTATAAACACAATAACGTCTTTTAAATCCTGGACATATTTAGTACTAGCTTTTCTCGCGCGGTTTTACCCGCGGCTCGTAGCGTGATGTTTTTTAGCCTATAGCACTCAGGAACATTGTAGCTATCTATCAGTGAAAGAATTTTGGCAATCCGACCAGCGGTACCAAAGATTACCCCTACATAAAAACTTACAAATTTTACCTCTTTATAATATTAGTATAGATCAACATTGCAAATTGCGGCGGGTCGCTAGTTTGTTACAAAGTATAAATTAAACGTTCCCCAGTTATTACCAGCAGCTTAGCCTATGTTATCCCATACTATAATCTATCTTTGTGCTTTCTTCATCAAAATCGATTCATTAGTTTTTACACGAAGGATCAATATACATCGATCAGTATTTCAAAACTTTCACAACTATAACATTATTAGTTTTTGACTCCTTTTGATAATCCAAGAGTGGAGGGTTTTAAAAAAAGAAACTCTTGTCTTTTTTATGGGATAAATCGGCAAACGAGCAGACGCATTACCTGATGGTAAGCAATCGGCGCCGCCCATGGACACCCACAACACCAAAGGAGTTACGAGTGCGTTGCCGGCCTTTTGAGGATGGAGGTTGCGGATATAAGGATTGGGAAGAGATAGGGGAAGGGGAGGGATTGGGCCCCCGGTAACCTCACTCACACGGCGAAACACAACGCTGTGGGTTATTTCACGCCGGTATTCTGTGAGGCCGTGGTATCACTCCGGTCGAGCCGACCCATTCGTGCCGAAGCTTGGCTCTCCCACACTTAAAATTTAAATTTATAATTTTTTTTTATAATTTTTGTCTAATCTGAGTAATTACGCAACGATTGTGTAAACAATTGATTTCAAAATAGTTTTTTAATAGATATCTTACAGGGCTGTGTTATCAAAACTAATACTTAGTTACCTAGGCATCCGTCTGTGTAGGTAAATGTGCCTACCACTATTAAAATAAGATTAAAATATGTCGCTTAGGCACTAATCGCGAAAATAAGTTTACCTAAACATTTAGTACTAGCTTTTTTTATGAAAACGATCGGCAAACGAGCTGACGGATTACCTGATGGGAAGTAATCAGCGCCGCCTATGGACACTCGCAACGGAGTAGTTACGAGTGCGTTGCCGACCTTTTAGGGATTAGGGATTAAGTATTTGGAGATTTAGGGATTGAGGAGGGATTGGGGGCTGGGAAGGATTGGGCCTCCGGTAACCTCACTCACTCGGCGAAACACAACGCTGTAGTTATTTCACGCCGGTTTTCTGTGAGGCCGTGGTATCACTCCGGTCGAGCCGACCCATTCGTGCCGAAGCATGACTCTCTTACACTTAAGCTTCCGCCCGCGGCTTTGCATGCGTTTAAAAGTAATGTATCTCGGGATTTTAAACAGCAGCGTTGAAAGCGACAGCACGGCTAAAATCACTCAGAACATTGTAGCTATCTATCAGTGAAAGAATTTTGGAAATCCGACCAGCGGTTCCAAAGGTTACCCCCTACATACAATCTGATTCGAACCAGTAGTTTCGTAGATTAGCGCGTTCAAACAATCAAACAAACTCTACAAGGTTTAAGATTATAGTAATATTTATTAATTAAACGCAATTCTAAGTAACACATAAATAATATTATTATAGTTGAATTACATATAAATTATGACTTTTACTTTATCCTCATGACTGACTGAGTCATTGCGCGAAGTTCAGCTTTTGCATGGCCGTGCGCAAATATCGGTGGAGTCACGATCACTCGACTTCTGTTTTTAGTCATTCATAAGATATGAGATGACAAAATAAGGATACAAACAGGGTATATAAATTAACTAGCCTTTGCTTGCGACTGTGTTCGCGTGGAATAGTGACTTCCTGCAGATTTTTGGTATAAAAACTATCCTATGTCCTTTCTCGAGTTCCAAACTATGTCTGTGCCAAATTTCACAGAAATCGGTTCAGTAGTTTAGGCGTGAAGAAAAGAAAGACAGACAGAGTTAATTTCGCATTTATAATCTCGCTACCAATTACCGACGAGCCCTTTGACGAATGCTGCCAAACGCACCGTACCTATTGTGATTTTATTGTTTCTATTTAATGATTTTTTAAATTGCTAAACAAGTGACGTCACACAAGGGGGTAGAGTGGTTCAAATGCGACCATCTGGGGCTCAAAAAATCTAGAAATTTATGCGGCTCCAAATGTACTGGTAAACTTGTAAGCCTTAGTTTAAGAGAGAGACGATGAACTTTCTGTCTCGTTCTTCTCGATTCGAATCTACAATTTGGAACGGGCACCTAGCTTCACTGACGAACAGACTGACATATTATTATGATTTTATTTATTTGTTTATTTGCATACCATAATGTTACTGGGATGTTATAAAGGGCTTATTCTATTTTGAATTTTTGACGTTTGAAAAGTACCTATTTATGGTTAAGTTGGAATAAGGGCTGATTATTCAATAATCAGATAAATGTTATCTGAGTAATACAAATATTATAAAGAGGTAAAATTTGTAAGTTTGTATGTAGGGGGTAATCTAAGGAACCGCTGGTGAGATTCCCAAAAATCTTTTACTTATTGATAGCTACAATGTTCCCGAATGTTATAGGCTATAAAACATCACGCTACAATCAAATGGAGCCGAGCAGCGAGTGAAACCGCGCGGGAGTAGCTAGTCTGAGGAATAAAATTGTTGCCATCACTGTCTTGTACAAACATTCTGACGCGACAGCATCATAATTACTCCCCAGGTAACTTTTATCTAACCATTGGAAAATCAGCCCTAAATTATTTAGACTTGGAAAGGGTTAAAAATTATGAAATACAGCAATTCAAGGTCGACTAACAACAAAAACATGGATGTTGTTCTTTATCAGTGACGTAATGGGTCTTTC